TATGTATGCATGTATGTTTCTATATATTGGATTGCTGGACGCTGGTATCAGTGCCGCTACTTGGCTGTTTGTTTCAAACCCCCCCCCCCAAAAAAAAAAACAAAACCAAAACCAAAAAAAAATTATATTGCTATTTTATTCTAAAAATATACAAAAAAGCATATTTTATTTGTTGTTCTCTTTTTGTTTTGGTTTGTATAAATAAAATATACCAAACAATCAAACGCATAAGTGATGTCCTTATATTTGTAAAACTTTAGAGAGCTACGCCTAAACACACCAGCCTACAAATGGGTATGTTTTTACTATTTTTATAATTGGGGCTGCATTCCTGCGACCTGCAAATATTCTTGTTTAACTTTCGTCCATTGAAAATATCGCAATAATTAACATCTCTTGTGGAGTATCTTGGAGTCCACTTTGATTTTTGTTGTTGTTATTTTTTTTGTCTCTGTGAAAAACTATTTTGTGGAAAAAATAATAGTCAAGTCTTGTGTGGAGTTCTTCATTCTCCTTTTATTTTATCCCCTCTCTCGCTGAGAGAGAGAGAGCCAGAGAGAGGTGAGTGAGTGAGTGAGTGAGTGAGTGAGAAAGAGTGAGTGAGTGTGTGTTGCTGTTGGAGACTTAATAGAGAACGGAGATGCCGTGTGACATCTGTGTTGTAGAGTCAGCGAGACAAGTGACCACAAAGCAATGTGAATGTTCTTATTGGAAGTTGCTGTATCCAATCACTCTCTCTGCATTAAAAAAAAAGCTCAATTTTAGGTGAAGAACTATGTACAGTCATACCTCTTTATATGTCCAGTTCCCGGGATAGGCAAATATTTAGACATATAAAGAGGTAAGACAAGTCTAGGTCAGTTTCATACCATCAGGTTCGGGGTCCAACCTATGGGAGTTATGGGTCACACCAGGAGGAATTCTAGGCGCTCTCATTAAATACCCCTTCTCTTTCGTGACGATCAAGCCCTGACGTACACTAAAACCAGCTTCTCTAACCTTACTGACCCACTCAATCAAACGCTTCTCGAGCTCGTGATGTGTTCCTCTCCTTTCTCGATATTTCTTTTTTTACATGTACCTCATAAGACTGACTGAGTATCTTCTCTCCGGACTCCATGAACCTTCTTATCCCCTACGACAGCTGTCTTTCCATGATAGGTCTAAGCTGTATTCCGCTTTCTAGATTGTACGCACGATGACACCTTTATCTTTGTTTGTTAGATTGATTCTTTTTGTTGTATTGGAGCTCACCTTTGATAATACAGTCTGTTTATATGTTTTCTTCTTCTTACCAACAGTGAGCTTATCTATTGTCACACTAGATACTCCTTTCATACCAGACGATACATCCTGCTTGGGCGTCGACTGTGGTTTCGATTCGCCTGGTTCACTCGTTGTAGGTGCGTTTTGTGTCAATTCGTCTGGCTCTGTCTGTCTGTTATTAGTGAAACCAGACTCTCACATGTCATTCGGAGGCTGGCATTTATCTGTAGGCAGGCAGTATCCGAATGAATTTGAGCTATACCCCTCACCAAGATGCACGCCACAAAAGGCATGCATACCTCGATCGCAACCAGCACATTTGTGTACACCACCCACTGGGTGCGTTGTAGTGCATCATTTCATACAACAGCGTTCACCACTAGAAGTGTCTCCCATCAGGATCTATTGTAGTACATACTATAGTGTATGTATTATAGATAAAGCTACAGTCAAGCTGAGGTGAAAGGTGAAATATTTACACATGAAAACCTCTAAGAGCTGGCTGCAGAACCGGCCTAAAAAGACCTGACTCATATATAGGGGGTTGGCCAAAATAAAAATTGGACATATAAAGAGGTAGACACCTTAATGAGGTGGACATATAAAGAGGTATGACAGCACTGTTCATAGAAGTAATAAATAAATTGAAAACAAGGACATATATTTTTCCCAGACCCCCCAGAGAATTATGAAATATGTATTATCAATAATAAATAATCTGAAACAAGAAGGGCTGCGACTTGAATTTGAAAACTGATTGTCCGAGCTGTCTCGGATACAAACTGCCTTCTGGAGGCGTGTCTATAGATAAAATCAACAATCACTTCATAGCCTGCTTATAAAGTACACTTCCGAGATCCATTACCGTAGGTCGAATCACCTGTGAAGTATAAAGTCGACTTCAAAGGGGTTGTTAGTAGTTTTTTAACACATACATATAAACTAAATATTATTATTCGAATCGACACCATGGCATTGGCAAGCACGAAGGATATGGTTGTGTACGGTTGCTTCTGTGCTATCTTCATCATCACAATACCTCTATTCTTCTACCGAAGACGATACACATTGATCTCAGAGCGAACGCCATATCTAGTATTGTGGATGCAGGTGCCTCTGTTTGGGATCATGACTATTCTGTGCCTGCTGTACAATACATTGATTCCCAACTCAGTAGCCTATTGTGCCACCATCTTGATACTGTGCCTGCAAACGCTATTCCTGTGCTCAATAACTGCACGCATAGCGAACGTCGCCATCAAATCAATCCAACAGCAACACATTAAAAGTCTCCTACGTGAAAAGGTGCCGTTGCTACGCATACCCAATGACACGGGGAATCCAGACAGTAATCATTCTGAGTGCTTGTCTGTGGGCAGTGGCAGCGGTAAGGGTGGCACAGTGCAATATCTGTGGTGGCACTCAGCATATCTCACGAAATTCGGAAGGTATCAGAAATTCAAGCACACTTTCGGAATCTACGCGCTGATATGTATGCCTTGGTTCGTAGCCCTGACCATTATCTTCGCTGTGAATGTGCCTAATGCGGGCGATGCAGTACTTAATGAATCTTTGTTCTGGTACAGAGTGTCCATCTGCACCACGCAGATCAGCTTAGTATTGTTGGTGTTCCCCCTGGTAGTAGTGGATATCTTCTTCTTAACTATTGAGATCAGTATAGTAGCTCTTATTCTATTGGGCGATGCCGTGGTTCTCCTGGCCTGTCGGTATGTGCCCCCTGAACCCTCGCAAGTACTGGAAGCAAATATGTGTTCGCACTATGTATATGGCTGCTTGTTCACTGTTCATATACTGACTATTCTGGTGCCTGCGCTGTTGACCTTCATCCCCGTCATGCGCACCCAACGCGTGCTGCTGCAGGCGGACATGGGACTGGCTGAAGAAAGTTCTGGCGATCGCGTTGTTCAGCAAAAAAAAAGGTTGCTAAGGACAAGCGCACATCTCTAGACACAACCACTGGCGAAATCGACGCAGATGATACTGCTGAGACGGCAGATACGCAAGAAGACGACACTGCGGAATACCCAGCTGACCAATCTTTGCCTTTGGCTGTGGTTCTGGTAAACAGACCTCTGACCACCATGTTCTACAAACATCTGAGACGCGAGTACGCGACCGAGAACTTCCTATTTTTGCTATCTATCAACAGATTCCGTTCTAGATTCAGTGAAAAGAGACGCATGTCGAACAGATCCATGGGCAAGATCTCCAGTCAGAGCACTGGGTCTGATCTGGGGCGGCTAACTGACAGTTCCAATGACGTTGCTAAGGTGGTTGAGCAAGTGTTTGTGGACACCTCAGCGGAGAAGGGTGCAAGCAAGCACAAGAGTATCAAGAACAAGGACAAAACCAAGAATAAATACAGTAATGGGAGTATGGGCTTGGCTGTGGCAGAAAGACCTGCACTGCTACAAGTGAACGAGATTGTGTGTGTAGAAGCCATGCCTGCGAATGTGAGCACGAATAGTGCTATGCAGTTTAAGATAGATGTAGCTGAGGTTGCTGAGCGCATCCACCAGCGCTTCATCCAGCCGTCCGCTGAGTTCCAGGTCAATCTGACCTATGGGTGTGTGGCCAATATCGAACGATTACTGGAGTTGGACGACTGCTTCGCGACAATGTTCGATGAAGCGGCGCGTCATGTGTCCCGTTTATTGGAACTGGACTCCATGCCCCGTTTCCAAAAATTACATGGCAAGGCCATTTATAAGGCATTGGATGGCGCTATAGGAAACACCAAAGTGTGACCAAATTAGATGCAGATGCCGAGGATAGGGAGAACAAAAAAAAAGGAGATTCTGTGGAAATCACTATTTACTATGAAAATTAGGTTAATCCTGCGAACCCAGATATGCAATTGATGGTAACTTTTGAGCTGGTGCAATCTGTGGTAATGGTATATCTGTAACGACCGAGTTCAACTAATGAGAATTGTAGTGTTCAAGGTATACATGTTACTGAGGATTTGCGCACGTGCGATGAAAGTGCAGCGGATCTGTGCCTATACATACTCACTCGATCACCCACAGGCCATATAAATACGAACATACACATAATATACATACATCCAAATTATCATACACATTCTCACACTGTCACGCACACGAACAACAAACTCTCCTGACAGACTTGCATATATACTAAAACCCTCGGCACAGAATTGAGTGACAAAACGGGAACAGCACGAATAATAACCAGGAGATATAACCCTCAGTAGTAGCTATGTAGGTTGCCCTATTGTCGGCAATAAGCAGGGTGTAGTGAACACTTATAAAATATTCACTTACTCATGCTTTGAATAGCATGGTACGAACTTTCACATTGTTAAAAATAGCATGTAGTGAACAAACACTTAAGCATAAGAAGCATACGCAAAATATGCATAGGTCCAGCACTCACTAAGAGCAGATCTACGATGTATCATCCATTGGTGTATGCTACATTGATTTTGAAACAGGATTGGGTAGAAGACACATCAGTTTATGCGATGCTAAGAGAAACGCAAAACTATTTTCAGGCATCTAGGAGCATATTAAAATAAAGACTCGAAATGGGCGATGTGAACGCTTAAATTTTTATAGCCGTGTGAAAGAAAGATATGAGGATAATACTATTTGGTATCAGATAAGAAGTGCTGCACCAGCTGTCTTGGCAGTTTATGATGTGTGAGTTTGTATCATTAGCGAATATATGTCAAATCGTGACGATCGCTTGCTGCGTACAAGGTATTCCAACCTTCCGGATAGCCGCGCTGGTATTTCCACCTTTAATCTCGAAATATAGCGATGCACGGGGATCTATCGCCTGGGGCCGCAAAAGTGAGACGTCTTATAACTCTACAGAGTGTTCATAACCCGCACAGTGTGTTCGATTGTTTGTAATATTCATAACTATCGCAAGACCCTGAGTTGACCAGGTGTTTACAAATATGCCCAAAACAAATGGATGCCTAGCATGTCCCAATTCTTCGTCACAGGTGGGCATTTCCGTCCACAATGACACTCACCTTCGTCGTTTCTTAAGAATACGGTTTGATATATTGTCAAGGTTTCTCTTGCGCCACAAGAATTTAGTACGCCGGAATTGCGTTCCATATATATATATACATACATATAAATTTACATATGTAAATCATATATACATATACACACAGTCATATACATTTACACACAGACATATATTTATATATATATATATACATATATATATATATATACATACATATATATATATATATATATATATATATAATATATTATATACACACACACACACATATATA